AAAAAAAAAGACAACGAAACAAAAAAAAAGGACAAAACAAAAAAGGGGTCTAAAAGAAGGCCTAATAAGAGAAAACCTAGACAGAGAGTCCTAAAAAAAAAGACGAAAAAAAATGATATAACCACACACAAACCCGTCTAAAGGAAGATGTAAAGAAAAGGGGCTAAGAGATAGAAGGAAAAGCCTAAGAGAGAAGATAGACCTCGAAAAAAAAAAGACGACGAAAGTGCTGACGAAAAAAAAGATGATGAAAAAAAGAGGGGTATTGAGGGTATATAAATACTTTTTTGAATACACATTAGGGAGTATAGTATCTTGCATAATACAATAGTTTGACAATACAATTGTTTTGACAATACAGTTGTTTCTGGGTTTGAAAAAAAAAAAACTGGAAATAAAAAAAAATAATAAAAAAAAAAGCCTCCGATATACTGCGGCTGATCGCATCATCCAATATTTTTTTTTTCCATTTTTGGTATGATACCAATATAATCGGAGTTAGGTATTCAAACATCCATTTAACTGTAAACAACTGAAAAAAAAAATTATCATAGACAAAAACTGCGCAAAACACCGCCATACCGCCCATACGTTCAAAAAATTCGTTCCGACAGGAGGATAAAAAAAAACCCTCCAAAGTTTTGTCCTAATTGTAATGAAATAAGTAAATTCGTTTATTTACTTTTTAGTAAAGTAAATAAAATAGGAGAAATCATAAATAACTGAAAATTTTTTAAAAACGACGACCCTTTTGAGTACACTCTTTATTGTTCTTAACAATTGGGACCCTATGGAATTAGATTCATAGGGTTCTTGGAACTTGGACGGTAAGTAAAATGTCAAAATTTAGAAAACTTACAAAAATTCGTAATTCTTACAACTCGAAATTACAATAAGAATGAAATGTTTGTCTTCTATCTATTATAGTGAAAATATTGATTGCAAAAATGATGATAAATGACCCATAAATATTTTAATATTTACAATTTTATAATTTTATCAAGGCAAAATCGACAATCGACAAACACTTTTGGGCAACCTGTAAAATTTTCTTAAATTTATTCGATAATTTATTACAAGCATAATTCGTTTTTCGTTTTATGTATTACGTAACGTTCATCTCCGCACCGGCATTAGCGAATATTTGCGGGCTGAGTTTCATGCCATTTTTAATTCTGCCCAAAATTCAGATAAAATGGTTTTCAATAACCGATTTATCTTTTTGATTAAAAAAAAGTGATCCTATTATCAAAAAAATTATGGGCAAACGCGGAACATCTCGTCTCGACATTAATTCATGTGATCTGCAGACAAATTTATAAGGCGCAGCTAAAATAATAATTTAACGGTTTAAAAGTGAAATTTTTGATGATCTCAAAAATTATGAATCATCTATAATTATACTTGTAATTAAATAAAAGAGAAAACTTTAGAAGAATAAGCCAAAGAGAGATAAATATACTGAATATACCGTTAATTAAAAGAGTGATAAGCGCAAAAAAATAAATAAATATTTTGATACGTCAAAACCGTACAAATGACGCAACTTGAACTACATCTTCACCCAAAAATACTAAAAAATGCGCCCAATTTCAATTCAAGATACTGTATGATTGTCAAAATTTCGCTTAGTCAATTTACTCAATCACTTTTTTGTTTAATTTGTGTTTTATATACACGTTAATTGCTTGGTCAATTTACTTTTAAATCTCTATTGTTTCAATTTTATTTTTACCTTTTATCACTTTTGATTAACCGTGTAACACTGGTAAATTTGCTAAGAATTAAATACAGAAATACTCACCAAAAGGCCACGGTTTTTAAAGTAAATTATTGAAATATATACAAATTCATAAATAATTAAAACTTACGAAACTACGAAAGTTGAAATCTTGAAAGTTATCAAAATTTTTATTTTAAGAAAATGACTCACGATACTTCCCCTAGTAAAGTTCTCGATGATTATGATTTATTGGGACGTAGTGGATTAAGAGTTTCTCAATATGTCTTGGAACTTCGGTAAGAACATTTTTTAAAATTTGCCAAAATTATGATATAAATAATTAGTTATAATATTTAATAACATTATATATTGTTAACATATATTTGAAGACTTTTGGAGAACAATGGAGTTGAATATTAATTTGAATTAGTGATTAAAAAAGAAAAAAAAATGATTTCTCAATATTTTAACGTTATATAAATAGGGATATGGTAGTAATAAAGAGGAAACGAAAAAAGTTTTTGATCTTTATTATGAAAAGGGCGAAAATTTTTTTTTGTTTTAGTTACGCAATCAATTGACTTTATCTATAGAAGTTCGGTTACTTTAACATTTTTATTTTTTAGATACCTACATTAAGTAAGTAATAAAAAGGCAAATTTTTTTAGTTAAATACAATAATAATATTTATTAATAAAATACTCAGAGTGAACGTTTCCTCGGAGATTATGTTTCGATAAACGATCCGATGTTGTGATTGCAACAAACTGTTTATGTAATATCATTTAATTTCAGTTGAATTTCGATAATTTTCAAAATTTGAAATTTAATTCTTAGTGCTATACAAAAGGATAAGAGATTCAACCCGAATAATGCCCTTATAAAAAAAAAATTCTGGGAAAAACTTACATTTTTTTAGTTTTTATTCCGAAGAAACTCAGACACGTGATCATTTTTCTGAAAAAATTTTACAGGGACGGCAAATTAATTGACAACTTATACATGTATATTTAAGAGGAAATCATCGAAAGAGTCTTGTAGAAATTTAGATGAAAGTTTTAAACGGTTAAATATGAGTTATGTTGATATTTTATATGTTCATGGCTATTCCGATTGAAGAATTTATGAGATCGTTAATCGTTTTTAATTCAAAATAAGTTTGTTCTCTAACTGAAATATTATTAAAAAATAAATGTTAGGTTTTATATGTTGCTATAAGCAACACTCCATCTTGGGAACTCGCTCGAGCTAATGCTATTGCTGAATTACGTGGATGGAGGTAGAAATTTTAATAATTACTTTTACTTGGTAGAAACTAAAGATGTTAAGTAAACGCTCATTTATCAACTGTACTTTAGCCCTTTCATTGATTGGACTTCAATCACGTTATAACTTGTTGGATCGATCTTTAGAATTTGTCTTACAACCTGCTTGTGCTGAACTTGATGTGTGTATAAGCTAAATTTACACTTGAACTATATATAAGAATTAAATACATATTTTAAAAGGTTGGAATTCTTCTATGGGGTGTCACTGCCGAAAGGTAATAATTAATTATTATCCCATTCTTTTATTTTAAAATAATAACGTTATATTGATTGTTCTATAATAGTTTTCTTACCGGAAAATATACGAGAAAATCAGCCGTTGTATGGTGATCGATTTTTTTTTATAGTGCATAGACATATCGGACAAAAATATAAAAAGTTATAGTTTTAAATTTATAAATAGGTTGCTTTAAATTGGGTTCAACAAAACTGTTCTACAATTGGTGCCAGAGCAGCCGCCCAGCTTGAAGAAAATCTTAAATCACTTGAATTTAAGTAAGTTTAACTATTTAAAAATTTTTTTATTTTTAAAAAAATATATATTTACTATCGTAAATTCAACAAAAAAAAAAAAATTGTTTTCAGAATGTCACCTGAACAAATGAAACAACTTGATGAAGTATCTAAACCAACTGAAATTCCATTTCCTTACTCGTATGTTTTGACATTTTTGATAGACATATCGGAAAAAACATTGAAGTTCCAAAAAAATTTTGAACCTGTTGTGAGTACATACAATTTTGAAAGAATACACAATAATTAATAAATGGATTCTATCTTTATTACATTCAATTTATTTTTAATTTTTCATTTCTCAATTTATTTATACATAAATAGGATTTTATCGTTGAGATAAATAATAAAGGTGTGAAAGAACGAAAAAAAAAGAAAAAATAGAAAAAAAAAATTATTAAAATAAAAAATAAAAAATCATACTTACTGTAGGATTGCAGCGTTAGTGCGTCAGTCAAATTTCTTCCTTTTCTTTAGTTGTTTTTATATAAAAACGAATTATTAAAGTAAATTGTTAATATTATTAGGTAAAATTAACCATGTAGTAAGAAAGTTAATGTAAATAAGTTACCTAGGTTGAGTTTAGTGAAATTTATTGTTCTATGGATTCTAGAAAATAAAAAACCAGGATGAGAAATATTAAAAATTCAGTTTTAAAAAAATTGTAAAGAAAAATTATTAAAATCTCGGTTTTAAAAATTAAAAAAAAAATATTAAAAAAATCCGGTCTAACAAAAAGAAACCAAAAAAAAACAATATTAAAAAAAATGATCTAGTCTAAAAAAAAGACTGAAAAAAAGATCCAGTCTCAAAAAAAAAGAGACCAAAAAAAAATATTATTAAAACAAACAAAGATATGGTCTAAAAAAAGGCCGGAAAAAAAAATATTATTAAATAAAAAAAGATCCAGTCTAAATAGAGACTGAAAAAATCAACATTCGGATAGCTACGGTATCGATCTGCTGGCAGCAGATTGAAAGGGCCGAAAATGAAACATGGCTTTTTTCGTTAATTAGCTATTCGAAACTGTATTATCTCAGATTGGCCATCAAATGTACACATGACCCACTAATAATTATGGAATAGTTGGTGTAAATCAAAAATACAAAACTCCGGATGAATTTCCTTCTCATTCTTTTTTATTTAAAATGCAATTTTTATAATATATGCTATTTTGCTTTATAACAGAAATATTCTTATTCTTTATTATTTGTTAAATAGTAAAACCATTAATTAATGACTTAAGTGCCCCAATAGTTTATTAAAAAGATTCGATGCGACTTCAATACCAAATGGTTGTGGCTGAATATTTTGAAATGATGATTCCTCCCTATGGTTATTGAATATTACTAATACTAAAAAAATATTATTATTAATATTATTAAAAAGAAAACCTGTTGCGGCCCATTGTTATCAACAAAAAAAAATATAATTTTTTAAAAAAAACGGCGTGCCCATTGTTATCGGTATTTTTGCGAAATGAACTTGATGAAGTATATGAAGCATATAAATCTAGCAAATATGGATATATGAATTTTAGGGATCCGTACAAAATACCGAAACTCGAAAACCCGACAGTACATTATCCCGAACTCTAAATTTCGAAATGGCAAAATCTCGAAATGCCATAATCCCGAATTGTCAAAATCCCGAATTGTTATAATCCCGAATTTTATAATTCCGACACCCTATAATATTGATTTTCTTTAGATTTTTCGTTTCAGTATTTTGAATTTCGGGATTATGAAGTGTCGGACTTATGAAATGTCAGGATTATGGCATTTCGAGATTTTGCCATTTCGAGATTTCGGGTTCGGAATAATGTACTGTCGGGTTTTCGAGTTTCGGGATTTCGTACCAAACCCGAATTTTAGTATTAACAATATTAATAATAATACACGTTATATTTGTAGAAAATTGTATTTTTATTATACATAAAAAAAGTATCATAGTAACATTATATATAAATTTCCTTTATTAGCATTAATATTATAGTTGTTAATAAAAAAAAAATAATATTTAAATAAGTATTATTATATAGCCATATTAATTAAAATGTATTTCATTTTAGTTATATAGATTCAAATAAAGAAACAATATATTTATTTTGATTATTTCGCGGAAATGATCTTGATCAGAATCTAAAAGATGAAAAAACAAAAAAAAAATTATTAAGGGGAAAAAGTATTAGTAAAAAAAAAAATCCTAAATTTACCAATAAGAAAAAAAGAAACGAAAAAAAAGGTGCTTACCATTGCCTGCAGCACCGATCTGATCAATCGATCCAAACCTAAATGGTGTTTGAAAAAAAAAGCCAAACCGAAAGAAGAAAAGGGAGAAAAAATTTTTTTTGGTTTGAAATTTTTAAAAAAAAGGAACCAAAAAAAGCTAAAAATATTTGAAAAAAGAAAAATCGGATAAAAAAAATTATAATCAAATTGGATTAGTTGATTGGATCGAATAGTTTTTGACCATAAATAGATCAGGCGGAGGCATGTCACGGGGTTTAATTATATGGCATCGCCGAGCCATCATCAAGTTTAATGACATCGCATCAATACGACCTAAACAAGGGGGGAAGGTGGGGGAAGTTCATATAGATAATTTTAGAAACTGAAAAACAGCAGATAATAATAGAAAAGTAGAAAAATATATATATATTATAATTTTAGAATAATGTATATAGTAATTTTTTTTAGAATTAGATGGGTTTTAGATTTAGTTTAGTCATTAGTAAATGTATGATTTATATCAAATAGTACGTTAGTCTTTACTTCATTTTATATACGGAGATTTTGATATGGAGAGATTTAGTGTAAACTATGTTTTGCCTAAATTTTAATTTATTTCTTTTGTATTTATCGAGTAATATGTTCTACTACGTTTACTAAATAAAGAATACGTTTATTAATTAAAAATATATATATATATATATTACTTTAATGTTATTTAATATTTTTAATAATTTAAATGCACTGTTACAGACATGGCAGTACCATCCCGATTCTATTTAAACATCTAAATGAAATTGAATAAAAATTGAAATTTCTGCAAAGTATGACTTGCCAGTAGTGTAATTTAAATAATTTTTGTCAAAAAAATTAATTATAAATAAAAATATAAAGATTATATCTAATTTTATAATAAGATTTCATTAAATTAAATTTCAAATTTTATAAATAGAATTAAAGCAGTTTGCTCACACTTATAATTGGTGTTAAACAAAACCATCCATTAAAAAGAAATTATATTATTCTGTTTATATATATAATGTAAAATAATTAACATAAAAAAAAACATTCATCACATTAAAACATATGCTAGAGAAGCTACAGCTTGTACTTCCTCATTAGAGCCTGGATAGAAGCAGAAACTCAACTTATTAGAAAAATCTTCTTGTTTAATAGAGAAGGTGTACTCATTTCCTTGATAGACACTTTCAAAACGGCTAGATTGGCCTTCACCATATCTTGCTGCTAGCTCAGCTACTCGTATTGGATCCCCAGTTGTTGAATATGTTGTCATTCCAGCTACAAGTTGAAAAGATACATGTGGTGGCACTAATGTAACAGGTGCTGAACATACGGCTAGATTTTGATTTTTATTGTCCCATACTTGAGCACTGCTATCGTCAACACAGAATGCATCATTTGGGGTAATATTAACACAAGAATCACCATCTCCACAGCTGAAATTAGTATCAACAGGTGTGCCTGGTTGACTAAAAGATTCACATGTAACCCTCACTGATTTCCTTGTAGCGCAAGTGGAGCTTTTATATTTAGCATTATTAGGGTCAGTGCATTTAGGCCTAGTGGGTACTGCAGAACCATCAATACTAAAAATCTGATCTTGTAAATTTACCACAGGTATTCCTACTACAGCTGAAACCAAAAAGAAAATATATATAATATATAATTGAGCAAACATATTCTGAGAATGATATGGAAAGAAATGTGAAATTTTTAATTTGTTCTTGTAAAAAAAAGAAAATAAAAAATATTATTTTTTTACAGTGATATTGTTAAAATCATTAATATGCGTTTTCATGCCATTTATTTATACATTTTACCTATAAAAAATTTTATCCATAAAAATGAACCTTTTCCATTCACGGAAAATGTGAATAATTTGATAAATTCCGTGATATGAGATTATTAATTCCGGAACCGGAAATATGAGCCTTTTACGGAAAAAAAAAAGATCAACTTTTTTTACAGGGAAATATATGAATCACGATCCACCTGCATGCACGTTGCCGATCCTATTCATAATAACGTGGTCAAGATTAATTAATTATATTTTTGTAACTTTACGAAACCTGATTAATGAATTGCACTACGCGGTCCCATAAAAATGATCACGTGCCTGAATTTCTTCGGAACAAAAATCATTTATCGGAGTTTTTTCCAAAATTTTGGGTCATTAAAAAAATGACATAATATTATTCCGTTGATCAATCGGGTTCGATCCTTATTTGGATAAATCTATCATCTATGTTTAATTAGGATATCCGAATTAGGGCATCCTGACTATATTTAGGTACACATTGCCTATAAATACACAATAAAATAAATTAAAAATTCATTCTTACAAATTCGCCACACGAAATTTCCTTTTACCTATTTCTTATTAAATCGTATTTTTCCCAAAATATTCATAAAATATTTACGAAAATTTTGCTACTAAAAACATTATTAATAATTAATATAAATAGAGTATTAGATTGAATTTTAATGATGGAATGTCAATCGCTAACATTTTCGGAATGACTGACCTTATATGGTGTCGGTGAAATGGAGAAAAGTATCGCCCTATAAAAACGAAATGTGCTAAATTAGTTTTTATACTTGTACTCATGTATAATAAATGTCTAAAAAAGCACCATTTTGTTTAATTTTTGTTTTTTTGTAATAAGACATAAATTGCGCTTTTTTAAACGCTACACAAATATAATACAAATTTAACACATTTCATCTTTATAGGGTCGGCGAAATGTCCATTCAGGGGAATTTCCATTCTACGAAATGACCCTTCGGCGAAACATCATTTCGGTGAATGGCTGCGTATCAGTATACCGAATTACGCCCCATTAGAAAATGCGAGACTCTTGAATGATAGAATTAATCTATCTCACATTCCTGATTGATAAACAAATTCATTTTCCTTTCTTTATTTTTTTTTTCTATTAAATATAGTTGATATTTAACATTTAATTATTTTTAAATAGTTTAAATATATTTTGTAATTCTGCGAAACCTGATTAATAAATTGCACTACGCGGTACCTATAAAAATTTTTCAGAAAAGTGATCACGTGTCTGAATTTCTTCGGAACAAAAACTATCATTTATCGGAGTTTTTTCCTTAATCAAGCTGAATTTAAAAGGAAAAAGTTAATAGATTCAAAGAAATTTGGTCCCAATTTTAGTTTAAAGTCTCATCCAAAAGCTATTTATACAAGTAAATCATTAAACTCTTACATCTCTTAATGTTCATCTATCAATTTTCATCAAATGGTATGTAACCGTACTATTATTAGTCATCTTTCATCATCTCTCAAAGAACATTTGTTTTCAATATTTTACTTATTATGTATAATTATTATTTTTTATTATGCGATATTTTTCAATTAGCTTTGGTGAAATGGCACATTTTTTCGTGAGATTCAAGCACGAAGTAACTTAAATTTGATTTATAAGGCACAGCTAAAATAATAAGTAAATGTTGGGAAAAAAGATTTTAAAACAGAGAAAGGTCTTATTAAACCATTACCTTGAACCAAATTCTCGAAAGAGTTGTTTCATGTATAAGATTAAAATTCTTCATGAAAAAATGTAGGGTGCTAAAATTCTTAATGACCGAACCTGAATCAGATGATTATCTTATTTACGGGATCACCGACACCTATAATATCGACAGTCTATAATCCCGACACCAAAATCCTGATAAATGCAAATCCCGATTGAATCAAAATCCTGACAGTCACAGAATCCCGATGATCTAAAATCTTGACAGCTAAAATCCTGTCTCAGATGAATTTGAGTTTAGTTAATTTTTTTAATACAATTGTTTCTAATTTTAGAAGATAAGGAATAGTTAGTAGTCTAGTAATATACTGTACATAATCCTTTTAACTAAGATAAAAAATTTTTTCTTTTAATTTCATAACGTTGGTTAATTTGCATTAATATTAATAAAATTTGCTAACAATTTACATTGGTATTAATAAAATTTACAATAAATTAACCTGTTACTGCGTCATTGCATTTTTAAAATTATATTTAAAAAAAAAAAACTTTTGGATTTTGATTGTCAAGATTTTTAACTGTCGGAATTTGTGACCATCGGGATTTTATTTCAACATTTCAACGGGATTTGGGTTTGTCGGGATCTTGGTGTCGGGATTGTAGACTGTCGATTTTATGGTTGTCGGGATTTTGTGGTAAACCACTTATTTACATATAATAAACGTTTTAAAGAAATTCATTGAGTTTCGTTTAAAACTTCTAGTTTAAAATAAACTAACGTCAAAAATGTCACTTTCTGCGTCCTGTAGACCAAAATGGTATTTTAACAATTTAAAGAAATCTTTGAAATTTTGATCAGTAAATATTCTTAAAATACCATTGAACTATTTATTCAAATAAATATTGAGTTTTACTTTCTATAATTAAGGAAACTTCTTCACAGCGTAACTGTAGAAAGATTTAAGATTTTTTTTTTTTCAAACTAACGCCGATGAATTGATTTCTTTGATCACGTGATTGAAGGCAAGCTCGCGCAGTAGAGGAGATTTTTTAAAATAATGCCTGCTGATCTTTTTCTTTGTGACGCTTTGGTGTCACATCAGATTTATATATATACACCGTTTCAGCATTTTTTTTTACAGTAAAATTAATTTTTATTCATCACATGACTTCAAATTTAAAAATTAAATAAATACTAAAATATCCTTTAAATATTATTACAAAAATGTCTTAGCTTTATAAATATTTATATCGAATTAGTAATTAGAAAAACTAGTACTTTTACGCTAATTTCTACACGGATTTCATTTCAATATAAACTATTGAGCGGCCTCACCTAAATCACAAGTATTATTCCAACATCATAAAACAGTGATACAAGTAGTTTCGAGTATCGGTCTTCCAGAAGCTAATCAGGCTCAGTGAAAATCAAGTTCTAAACTTTGCTGAACGACTTAGTCTTCCAACTGGAATCGCGCTAAAAATCAAAAAATAATAATAATAATATTTTTATAATGAATTCTACAGTTAGTTAGTTTCGATAAAAATTAATAAAAAGTTACTATTGGGAGACATTCAATAGGAAAGTTCATAAATAGGTTAAGCCTAAAAAAAAAGGTGTAATACAACGTCAAGTAATTTAACCTTACTTGTTTAGATTGAATTTTAATCACGTTTTTTTTGTGAAATCAGATTAAACCTCTAATCAATCTCGATCACGGTTTACCCACTTTCGAATTCCTTCGATGAAAGTTTCTAAAGAGCATTTTTAAGACTCAAAGCTAATGAGAAATTTCAACGTCATTAAAAACTTGTACTAAAGGTAGTATTTATACGTCATATATTTATTTCTATAAATTTATTATTTTTGGTTACTTCGCTCATATTTTTTTAAACTAACGTGGGCAAAAAAAATCCGGAAAATCAAGTCATCATAATCAAATTAAATTAGTTAATTTATAAAAAAAGAAACTAGGAAATATTTTATATGTAAATACACATCACGAGAAATTTTTTAAAATATTTCATTTTTGAGAATATGGCTCAAGATACTTCGTCTACAAAAACCACTAAAGCTCTCGATGATTATGTCTTATTGGGGCGTAGTGGATTGAGAGTTTCTCCATTATGTCTTGGTACTTTGGTAAGATCATTTTAGTAAACTAAATAAATATTTTGATAAAACATATATTGTTAACATATGCTATATAATGAAGACTTTTGGAGAACAATGGGTAAGTTATATATATTAATTTGAATTGATGATAATAAAAGATTTCTGAATTTATGAATTTCTAAACATTAACACTTTACAAATAGAACTTGGGCTCTAATAAAGAAGAATCGAAAAAAGTTTTTGATCTTTATTACGAAAGAGGCGGAAATTTTTTCGGTAATTTTTTTGTTATACAATCACTAGATGATGTTATAAAAAATTTTCTATTTAATAATACGTAAATTTTTAGATACTGCCTCCAATTATAATTATGGTGAAGTAAGTAAAAAAAAAAAAAAATTTTTTTTAGTCAACTCAATATTAATGTCCATTAATAAAATATTTAGAGTGAACGTTTCCTTGGAGATTATGTTTCTGATAAACGATCTAATGTTGTGATTGCAACAAAGTATACGAGTATGAAACATGAATTAACTGTATATTATCGTTCAAATTTGGAATTTTCAATAATCTTCGAGATTTAACTAATTCTTAGGTAATACAACTGCTATGCAAAAGGATATAAGACTCAATCCGAATTTAGGTAAGCTAGTAAACTATTTATAATACGAATATTAAATATTTTTTAATGTTGATTGATAATAAATAAAACTTAACTGTTAATTACATAGGAGGAAATCATCGAAAAAGTCTTGTGGAGAATCTTGATGAGAGCTTGAAACGATTGAACATGAGCTATGTCGATATTTTATATGTTCATGCTTATGAGTTTCGAACTCCAATTGAAGAATTTATGAGATCATTAGATGACGCCGTTCGAAGTGGAAAAGTGAATAAACTATTATTTTATAGAGTTTACCTTGAATAATTTTACTAAATATTATTATTAAAAATATATATATATATAGGTGTTATATGTTGCTGCAAGCAATTTTCCATCTTGGGCACTCGCTCGCGCTAATACATTTGCAGAATTACGCGGATGGAGGTACGAAATTATAATATTAATTTTAGTTTGTAGATATTAAAGATGAACTTCAAGTTAATGCATTTTCATCAAACGTATTTAGTTCTTTCATTGGACTTCAAACGCGTTATAATTTGTTGGATAGATCGTTAGAATTTGACTTACAACCTGCTTGTGCTGAACTTGATGTGTGTATTATTATAAAATTATATTCTATTTGAATTATATATAGATACTAAATCTATATATATTTTTATAAACTTTAAGTTGGAATTATTCCGTGGGGTGCCATCGCCGATGGGTAGTTATTAATTATTGGCGCTTTTTTTTTGTATTATAATATAATTATAGTATTAATTATTTTCATAATAGTTTTCTTACCGGAAAATATACAAGAGAATCAGTAAAATCGGAAAGTCGCGGTGATTCAGTTGCGAGACACTCAAAAATCGAAAAAAATTGGGAGATTTTTTAAAAAAAAAAAAATTGTTTACTGACGTAAATTAATGTAAAAAAAATTTTAACATTATCAGATTGACACCTGAACAAATGAAAAGACTGGATGAAGCATCTAAACCAGCTGAAATTCCATTCCCTAATTCGTTTATTAGCAACTATGATAGATTCATCAGAAAAAACATTGAAGTGCCTCGTAAATTTGAAGCTATCTCGACTTCATGTAACTTTGGAAGAATAAATCTTTAATTTATTTTACAAGGCTCAATTTTTGTTTTTTCTCAAAGTTTACAAATTTTATATTTTCATCAATAAATAAAATAAAGAAAATGTAATTGACACAATAGATATATAAAGTTTCTCGGTAGTTAACATTATAATTATAATTGTTTATAAGATTACCATCTTTGTCTAAAATTTTAGTAGTGAAAAATTGCCATCTGACGCAATTGTCACAAATACATACGTACGCACGTTAAGAAAATGAAAGGTCTATCTTTTACTATAACTAAGAAAATTTCAAGCTAATCTTTATGTTATTAGCGTCACTCGAGATCATCAAAGAGGCTGCTACAATTTTTTTATTCCTTGTATATACTACTACTATAAGAGATATTCAATCTTAAACATTCGCTCGCGCCAATATTATTTATTATTGCTGTAATAAGTGAATACTGTATTTAACTTGCATATGATCAATCCTTAATGATACTGCATTTAAATTACCCTCGAACGTCAACCCTATTCAGATCGATTTCATATAATTTGATATGACCGTTTTTCTAAAATAAATACAACTGGGAATAAACAAGAACTTGATATTACTACTTCGATCTGTCATCTGTACTAAAAATGATGCTTGGCTCAAAGAAAACATTCAATTATAATTATTTTTATAATTCACAGAACAAACGTATAGTATAAAAGATAAAAATCCCATTTTCACACAATTATTGAAAATTTTTTATTTTTATATGTATAATTTGATTTAAGTGATTCAAAGAATTTGTACATTCAATCTTCGCTTAATAAAGTCTCATTTTAGCAAATTACAATATTTCGATCAATTTTGTTCTTTATTAATAATGTAACGTGATAAATTCTCATCGTATTATATTCACAAAAATTTAAAACAACATTATATCCAAAAATTAAATATTATAAATATCACTTTTATTGAATACATTAAATCTATTTTCTTTTTTCTACCATTTTTAAACGAGATCATTGTGTTAATTTTATATTCGAATATAAGTATTTATTTTTTTCTAAAAAAAAAAAATAATAATAATAAATTAGATATTGGATTTAAAAAAACAAAACATTTATTATTGAATACATTAAATCTATTTTCTTTTTTCTACCATTTTTAAACGAGATCATTGTGTTAATTTTATATTCGAATATAAGTATTTATTTTTTTTTAAAAAAAAAAATAATAATAATAAATTAGATATTGGATTTAAAAAAACAAAACATTTATTTTTATATAAAAAAAAAATAAATACTGCATAAATAACATGACAGTCAGTATACGTAAACCTATTTATTTATTCAATAACAATTTAAGCTATCACATTATTTGTTTTTCATTGAATCCACAATCATCCGATCCACTTTCTTTTTATAATAGTAGTTGGTACCTTTATATTCTTTATATTCTAAAAAGCATTATACGATTATAATTCAATTATAAGACGAATATTATAATGTTTTTTGATATTCGAATATTCCATTGATTTACCGCAGCACTAAATCATATGCTATCCTTTTCTACGCTTTTGCATTTCGTTTTGTCTTTTTGATAAAATGGGCGATGTATTGTTCTATGGTTTATTTGATAACTATTTATCTTTGACATCAGTCTTTGGCTCATTTCTTTAACAGGATTGAAATGAATTTTTATAAAAAGGAATATCCGCGCAAGTTTTACCCATGTTTAGACATTCTAATGAAATTACTCAAGCGTAACAAAATTTTTAATTTTTTAATTATTTTTGAGTTTATAGAATTCCATTATGTCTAGTGTTACCATAGTAAATTAATATATATTAATTAAAATCCAAATTATCATGGCGTTAGGAAAATGGAGATAAAACAAATTGTCGCCCACATGGCGATGGAAAAAATAATTTTATCGTCACCATATTCTCCATATCCTTGAAGTTTATCAAAATGAAAAATTAAAGGTGAAAAATGTTCATTTATTCTCGTTAAAAAGTAAATTTATTCTTAACATAAATATCACCGTTTTCAAAACGGTATAGCCTTATATATTTGAATGAAGAAATAAGAATACTAGATTTTCGGATGAATATTGGTATCTGAATAAATTAATAGGATATACCGTTTTGAAAATGGTGATAAAAGTGGAGTTTGAAAAAGGACATAAAAAAAATAACAATACAATAATTTAAAGATCATCTATCAAACTACTCTTTAAAAATCTAAAAGACTTATCATACGTTATAATTTATTTCTTACGGTAAAGCATATCGACTAGCTTGTTTATCTTAAATTATGATTCGGTTTAGTCTTATTGGTTATTTTGATATAATTGAACTCCATTAACTTGAATTATCTTCAGGACTGTTTGAAGAAATTGGAGATGTATTGTAGGCATTATTATCTGAATATTCTTGGAAAGCAGGTTGAATATCCATAGTATTGAAAGATTGTTGTGGGATAGCATCTTGAGGAATTGAAGATGATACATCGTAAGCATTATTATCTGAATATTCTTGGAAATTTGGTTGAATAATCATAGTATCGAAAGATTGTTGTGGGATAGTGTTTTGTTGATAACCAACAGATTGTTGACCGATTTCTTCCCGAATTAAACGGTGCACATTATAATGATACAGAAGCTGATATCAATTCTATTATTCAAGAGTCGAGCGATTTCCGTTGAATTTAATTCGGTATACGTAACATAATAAATACGCGTATCATTTGGTAAAGGAAGATAAAATTCAAATGTATTATTTTGAGGTGTAGGAAAAATCGTATTAGTATTATTAAAGTTATTTCCAGTTTGATCCATTGGTAAATTATTCATGTTAGTTTATAGCTGAAAATTTTAATTTAATTACCAGGTATTTATTTATTCGTTCTCCTACCGTATGTAACACAAACAACATGATCTAGGAATTGACAATTGATCGGCAGATCCACCACGAAAATCTACAAACTGGGCCGTCCCTTTATAACAAGACTAAAATTAGTATTGTCACAAAAAATAATTCATAAACCGTTTACATTTTATGTGGAACATAGATATCTGTTTACTGATTTTCCTTCTTAGGATAATCTGATATCACCATGTAAGTAAAATAAGAAAAGATTGTCGCACAGTTGATGATTATTGATTGTGGCGTGTGGCCGTCGTACCGTTATACGTCTCTTAAAAGAATTTCTCATAAGAAACTAAGATTAATTCTAATCAATTAATGTAACAAACTCCATAAATTCACAAATTATTTAAATGATAATGAATCTCTTCAAACGTAGGAATACCTAATACGAACCAAGATAATTTACATGTTAATAATACTCTACACCAGTGATGTGCATTTGTACTTCCAGTATAAAAATTTAGTTGAAAGTTTCCATTCCAAATGGTTTTATTAGAAAATTATGCTTCCAATCTTCCAAGAGTACATCACTGCCCTATACTTATTACCACTCCTCAATAATACATTTGAATTCTATCTCCCTTTACTAAATGATACACATCTATTATGTTACGTATGTTGAATTAAGTTCGCACAATTCAACAAATACCATTCTTTCGATAGATAATATAAGAATATTCAGATAATAATGCTTACGGTACACAATCCCTACCTACAATTTTTCAAAACGGTGCTACACTTCAGGACAAATTACACCAAAATAATCAAACCAATCAAAATGTGGTAAGCCAAATATAATGATGTTAGAATTCTTATATGTTCATTTAATTTCATCCAAAATCTTTTTAAAGATCAATAATAATTATTATTCTTTTATTATTATTACTATTTACTGGTTCTTTTTTTTCAAACTCTTTTAATTCAAGAAATTATATAAGAATAAATGAATATCCATCATTTACTATTTTTATTAAAAACAAAATAATTTTTTCCGATCACTGATATGATATATTATTCGCAATATAAAGTAAGATATATATCAACTACCAAGAAAATTATCTTCTGAAAATTCTTTTGAATGATGATGCAGGTGTCAAATTTTCATTTATAACTCTCCTAACCCTTATTCCACGCAATTGGCACTTCATTTTCAAATTCGATACTAGTAACGTCAATATGACAGGTTTGTGACCTTGTGCGACAAAGATCTAAATTTGTTTATTCACTCACTAATTTATATATAATATTCGACTATGACCACTTCTGACAATACAGTTGAGATAAGAAGTGAGGTAAAACTGCAGAAAACAAAATACATTAATTATTTACAACAAGCCTTTAAGCTTGGTATTATTAAGGAGAAGAGTACAGTAAAATATAAAAATGTGATAGCTAAAGTTTCAATTCTGGACGAACAAGCAGTCTTGTTCTATGGAGATATTCCTTATTACTCCTTTTATAAGTTCATGCTCACATTTGATAAGGTATGACTCATTTTACTGCAATTTTAAGTTTTGTTTTGATATTTATAAGTTTTATACTTCAAGCACACATGATACATAAAGCTTTTCATTGACAAAGTTCCGTACTATTATTTTCAAAAAGAACTAAAAACCAAGGGTAAGTAAATTTTTATAAACCACTTCTGACCTTCAAACAGCATTAATTAAACAACTTTAAATAATTAAAAGAGAAAACTTTCATGTCTACCATTTCGTCGATCACACCCGGAGCAAGATTATTATTAGATAAACCAACAAGCGACAGCTTTATACCTGAAATTATGGCCTATTTCATTAGCTGAGGTTTTCAATCAAACCTTGTTAGGTCCTTTCTGGAAGTGGAAGTCCACCTTAATCTTAAAACGAATATGCAACTCATGTTTAATTTTCTTGAAGAACGCCAGCAATTGAATCCCAAAATCTTCGTTGGTATTGAGGGAACTGGCATAAGTGGTTTAACTTCAGGTGACGATAAGAGATTACTTATGGAATGGGAACTTACGGAAGAAGCCTCAAATGAACTCCGTAATAGGTTGTGTGATGATATCCTCTGGTCTAAACAAATTTTATATCATTGGTTATTTGAATGGGTCCTCAATCCATGGGGTTCCAACATTCAGATGGCCTTTAATAAGATTTTCTATGATGCACAATTCCCATGCAATCAATGGAACAGTTACAATAGGAAAGGTGGGCCACAAATGTTCGCCTCATCATATGATGATATCACTACCAGAATAGATGAAATTTTAAGTAACAACATGAAAGTTGCCAATGCCAATTTCCATATTTCCCATATCCTTGAAGTTTGTCAAAATGAAAATTAAAGGTGAAAGATGTTCGTTTGTGTTCGTTAGAAAATAAATTTATTCTTAACATAAATATCGACACAGATACGACGACTTTTCACATTACGACTCAAGTGATTATGTGGGAGAAAATTGTCAAACGTTGCACAGAGTATTGAATCATTTGAACGCGCACGTAAGTTAGTAAAGTTAACTCCAATAAAAATGTTTTATACTCCGCAAAAAAGCTTATTAGAAGAAGTATATGGGAATGTAAGCACTGCATTTGATTGATCCGTAGAATTTATTGTTCCATAAATAAAGCCTAAATATCAAAGTTTATTTCTGATCTTTTTTAATAATAACAAAGAAAATGGCAAAACTAAGTTAAAAAAATTAGTTCCAAGTTCAAAGACTAATCACTTTTTATATTATTAGGCTCAGCCAAATTTCCCCCTTTTAGTTCAAAATCTCAATGCTCTCGCTACAGCCACCGGAAACGTGACTTTGGAATTATCCCGGCTACCGAATATCCCGACAACTAACGTCGCTGTACAAGTAAATCAAATATTGCGAAACCAACAACAAATGACGGGAACTCTACGAAGGATTCGACGAGATCTACAAACTGTTCGACGAGATCTACGAACTGTTCAACAGACCCAGAGAACCGATCATAGACGCCTAAGACGAATCCGACGTTCAATCCAAGCACTGTATGTATATATTGATGTATTTTTAAATGATTTTTACCAAAATAATGGTGGATAAATGTATATTTTATTATTTAGAGACGTCCGTTCTTTTTGCAGGACGGTAAATTCTCGAATAAGTAATCCACGCGAAAGAATAGAAGTTCTGCCAAATCTTCGAAATGTGCTTCCCAACAACTTCCCCGCGAATGTTTCCCAACTTCGGAGAGCGAATGGTATATATAATATATATAGCCAACATGATTTTACTTTTTAATGATTCTAATGGTTGGTAAATTGCTTTTTAAATCTACAGGGCAAACTATCGATAACCTCCTAGCCTTTTATGGCTTACAAGTTGGTGGAGGTTTAGTACGAGATCGGAGAAGGCGTTTGGCAGAGTACATAGGCGTAAAAGTGTTGTAGTTGTCACCAAGATCTCTAGTTTCTTTTTATGTAGTCAAAAGTAACCACGATTTATCTAGAAAAAATAACCTGTTGCTTAAATATCATTTAGTGATAATATTAATAATGTAAATAATAATAAATTTGATTGTTTCGCTTGACTTTTGCGTTTTACTTACACATAAGAGAATTTACCAACTGTGATATCATCTTTGTTATATGCTTATGGGTGAATACGATTGCATCACGAAAATCTGATCTTGATTCGAATTTTTGTGCTTCTCTTCAGTTTTGCTGTAGAAAGTTAAAAAAACGTGGGAATTACCTACTTCCTGCTGAAGCTTAAAAAGACCTTCTTTTCTCTGACCTCCGAAACTTAAGAAACAGACAAAGAATGAAACTCTCGTGCATTATACGAGAGCTGAGTATTGGCACTCCTAAAGTTTCTTGCTGGCAGAGGCGTCGGTAGCTTCATTAAAGTGCTTCTTATTGCGGCTAACAGGCTGAGTTGGCCTACTTCTATTCCTCGTTATCCACATCCATTTCTTGTTCTGGTACCTCTGGTATCTGAAGTTGATTACTCATCCTTCTAACTATTGACGAAGCACTTGACTGAGATAGCGTTATAGTAAGGCTGAAGAGTTCGATTGTGTTGATGATGTTGAAAATCTTCATTCAGAAACTACAAGCAATACAGTTGCAGCATAATCAGAGATAAGACAATTATTTTGACGTGTTAATAGGAAAGTTTTTTTGATACATTCCCTATGAAACACATGCCCACAAGATAACACAGTAAATGCTTCGAATGAAGGTGAAAGGATCTCTTTACCACATTGCGGACATTTCTCCATCTCCTAGTTTCTTCAGGATGCTGTACGCGAGGTTTTGAATGTTGGACAGAGACATCCGGGCTTTGGGAGTAAGTGAAAAAAAAGGCCGTTAATATAGCACTACAGGAACAAACGATCAACTGGATCTTCATTAGCAATTACGTACAGCATTTTGCCAATGCGTCAATCCTCCTTGCAAATCATGTTGATAAACTTACACATTCCCAGCGGATAAACAGTTTCGGTAAGAATTTTTCCGATGTCATGCTGCGCCACATGAGTGCTGCGCCCGGATTATGATTGTACCGAGATACCTTCTGATTGAGACATTTCTTCGCGCAGAATAGCATGGTTCGGATGGTCTATAGGTCCACTTCGGTCGGATTGTTCATTCTTCGAAAATCCCTAAAGCTGCAAAGATTTCTTCATTCGTGATTTGAGGCGTTTCATTCTTACTTTCTTCCTCATCAGATTCGTCGTCGAATATCTTAATATCGGCCCATTTGGACTTTGCCGCCTCGAATGCTTCTACTTCTTTGCGTGTGAGTTCATCATGGATCCGCTCCATAGATTCGTCGTAATCGGAGTTAGAGTCTGAATTGGAGTCGGAGTAAGAACTAGAAGAACTTGCTGGTTTCATTCCGGCTTTCTTCATCCTTTGTCCGCAAACATGAGCGAGTCATTTCCAGTAGTAGTGGCGGTAGAAGTGTATTAGTTTCAGACATTGGTTGTTTGGTTCGGGTGAAAATGTGTTACGTTCGGAGTATACCGATGTGAGATATATTTCTGAAAAGCAGGCGTTAATATAGGTTTTATGTCGCACAAACAGCCGGGTGATTTTCAGCGTAGCTCATTACACGTGACATTTACCAATAGAACAAAACAAGCTTCGTACGGGTAAAATAACAATGTTTTATTTTTCTGTAATAGAATAAAAAGTACCAGAAGCGGCAATAATACATAAAATTCGAATTACTACTACTTCGCTCGCTCGCAACATAATATTAAAAATTATTATGACAGGGGGTAAACGGTGACATGGATGAAGCCTGGTAGAGGCTGTTTAGGAAAAAAAATGGAAATTTGAGCCTGCGAGTTCATAGACTTTTCAGGAACGCTTCCGGGATGAACTTGTTGAATGTCTAGAGACTTATTATTAAATGGTTCCCACAATTGTTCTTGAATTGCAGTTTCGAGCGCGCTAACGTCTTGACTTGTATCGCTTGAATTACTTCATTGCGTGGAAGCTAAAAAAACCCCCCCTATGGGGATAATTATTAAATGGTTCCCACAATTTGTTCTTGAATTGCAGTTTCGAGCGCGCTAACGTCTTGACTTGTGTAAATTGGAATCGCTTGAATTACTTCATTGCGTGGAAGCTAAAAAACCCCCCCCTATGGGGATAATAAGACAGTTGAGAGTAATACTCATCTTGCTTTCCTGAAACCCGAAGACACAACTTAGGGTGAGAAATTACTCGCGCTTCGTTCACATGAAAGCATAACTTCCGACATATACGCACCTTAATTTTCGCGAGAAGGTTGAGTGAACTTCTACTTAAGGCCAGTCCTTGACGCTTATATCTCGTATCAAGAGCCGCCAAATAATAAAAAGCCAGCAGGAATATGACTAACATTATCGTGTGGTGCCAAGAAACTCTTGAAAGCACTTGCAAACGGATTTTTCAAACCTTTTCATATGATCTTCCTCGCAAGACTCAAAGTAGCTTTGCGCCTGACGATCTCGGAATTGCAAAGTCCTCAGCCCTTCATAGTATATGGTTTTACCGTCAATATTGACTTATTGGGTTGGTCTTGTGTTGTGACATAGCTTTTTTCACATTCCTCGCGCGTTTGTTCAGGGAAAAGAAAGAGGTGGCGGTTAGCGTATTTTATTTCTTTCGAAAGTATTCTGTCGCACAAACACAGCCAACTCACATGACCATTAGAGCTAATGATCATCTGCTGTAACTACCCGGCCTGCTGATCTCTGCTCCGGACTAGGGACACTTACTACCCCATCAGAGTATAGAGTATTCATTGGACGAATCAGATGAATCGGAAGATTCAGTTTCAGAATCTCCAGAATAGTGCCCCTTTAAGGGTGCTCCACGGGAGGCGAGTCTAGTTTTTAACAAGCGCCACAGCTCCCACTCTCCTGACGAGTTCTTTATATACATAGCGTTGTTCTTAACCAGACATCTTCCGCATCTGTTACAATTTCTGCTAAATACACCTGGTACCCATCATTGTTTCGACCATAAAACCAATCATTGCCAAGTAAGATATAATCAGGAACATGGAGTCATGCTTTGCAATCAATACTTTGGTTAGAATTGTGATAGGCTTAGTCTTATTATTAGGTCAGGATTCGAACTTTATATTTGTAGTAAAAGTGAGCGGAACTACAGCCCACCCAAGAGGATGGCCGACCATCTCCCACTATTTCTGTCTTTAGCGCTTATTTGTCTAGAAATTTTCCTACCAATACTCTTGAGCATTTTATCAGAACACATGGATGGTCTTCGAGTCCAGGTTCTAGGACACAATAGACTTTATTATTGCCAACTTTAGCTTTGACAGTTTTTACGTACATGTTTATATGTAAAAAAATAAAATTAAACTTTTTCCGTTCACCGCATTTGCCAGTCGCGGGATGACTGCTTTTGATTCTCTATGACTCTAACAGATAATGAATTATATCTTGATCGAAAAAATGAATTCTCACCTAACCCATCATCGAAATCAGTAGCTGTACATTTTGATTATCAGTTATTTCATTTTTTACGGTCTCTGCCTCCGAATCTTCATCGGAACTAGGGATTGGAATCGATTCAATCGAAAATTGAATCTCGAGAATCGATTAAAGATTCGATTAATCGTATCAAAGTTTCGATTCGGGGATTCGATTTTTGACTTCGATTGATCGAATCTAATCGAATTAATATAATATTGCAATGTGATTTTCTACTATTTGCAATATCATCCGAACCTGGTTCAGATGTAGATCGTCATGAAATTCTGTATTAAGTTGGATTTAAATGATCGACAATTAAAATTAAATTCGGTTTTAGGCCAACAGTACGACAATATTATAAATTATTATTATAATAAATTGTAATATTCCAATTCTATTCTAATTAAATAATATATTGTTTTAAATAAAACCGGGGAAATTTTTATTGGTCGCATTAATTCATAATTCTGGCCTGCATTATAGTTTCGGCCAGAATGTTCAAGTGCAGAATCTTTAATTTTATCAACGTTTTTAGTAATTTGATGGGATTTTTTTTATCAAAGTACAGTTTATATAGAAATAAAAAGATTATTTCGCTGCACTATAATATCAAAATAATTGATTTATTGAAATTCAATTTTTAGATTCGATTAATCGATTCTATTCAGACGATTCGATTTTCGATTAATTCGATTTTGGTAGAATCGATTCCGATCCCTAATCGGAACTAGGGTCAGAGCCTTCCGAGTCCGTTTTACCTATAGCATAATTATTTCCTGCATCTAATCTTTCTGACTCTTGCCTTAATGCAATTCTTGTAAGAAGACTAAGATATTGTGGGGTTGCATTTCGTCCACCATGCCTTTATTATTAATAATGTATAATAATTGTTGACGCTGTATCTGTTTTACGTCATGAAATAAAAGTATGGCTAATGTCATACAAAGTTACCTATTATTTCTTATTTAGTTGATATAACCTTGAACACAACAATCATTGAGAAATAACCCCTGATAACGAATCCCAAATTCGACATTCCCACGCATAATTCTCCTAGAGGTTATGCATGAGTTTATGTGATTAATAATGTTTATTTCCTGGGTAAAATTTTGCGAGTAAATTTTCATGTTATGACATTGACGCGCATTTCGTATGTCAATTTGAAATAATTTTCTTTCTTTCAATGATTCGCCCATATATAATTTTTTAATTTCTTTGAAACGATGAAGGATATTAATTTCTCGTATGGTATAAAAGTACACACCGTTAAACATAGGAAAAATAGATAATCCTACACTTACTAAGTATATAAGAATTATGCAATAACACTCAAAATAATAATTACGTATCATAGTTTCGTTGAAAGGAACTGCGTTAAAAGCATTACTACTATCATATACTAAAAAGCAAGCGTTGGACGTTGGTTACTGAGCTAATTGAACAATTAAATATTATAATTATTCTCGTTTCTCACATACCCTGTTTATATCATTCAATAAATCAAGTGATTTTTGATTTCACTCAATTTTAAATCCGAGGCCCTGAATTAAAATATTTTTGCTTCAGCTGTTCTCTCTTTCTTCCTTTTTAATTCTGTATTTAATTTTGTTTGAAAATAAATTTGGTTAAACGAAAATTATCCTTAACAATGTAACTTTAGCCTTAAATTTTTGAATTAAAATTAACGATGACTTATGTTATCTTACGTTCATGCAAATAATTTAGGACAGTATCTCACCAAAAGAATACTGTAAACATTATTGTTTTCTACAAAAAGAGAGAAAAAAGTTTATTTTATTGATTCCTTCGTTAAAAATATACTGTATGTGGTTAATAAATTAATATTTAAACACCACGGTATAGTCGGTATACGCTTCGCATCACATGATTACATCACATGGTGGCGGAAATTATATTCCCTATAATAATAGATGTCCGTTAAATAATAAATTTATTCTTAAAATAGATTACGCCGTTTTTAAAATGTTGTGGCATTATATATTTGAAGAATACTACTGTATTTTTAAAAATGCCAATAAAAATAGAATTTGAAAAGGACATAAAAAAAATAACAATACAATAATTTAAAAGATACACCCATCAAACTACTTTTTTAAAAAACAAAAAGATTTATTAAATGTAACATATGTAACATAAAAATTGAATTTAAATTAATATAATTATATTTCTTATATAATATCTAGCTTAATTAATACCATAGTTTTATCTAAAGTTATGATTTGATGTTTATGACGTAATTGAACTCCATTATATCCTCAAGTATTTTCAAGACTATTTGGAGGAATTGAAGTTGCATCGTAAGTATTGTCATCTAAATATTCTTGGAAAGTAGGTTGAACAATTATAGTTTCGAAAGATTGTTGTGGGGGAGTATCTTGTTGATAATCAACAGGTTGTTGAATAGGAGAAATTGAAGATACATCGTAAGCATTATCATTTGGATATTCTTGGGAAATTGGTTGAATAACCATAGTATCGAAAGATTGTGGGATAACAGATCGTTGAACAATCTGTTGGCGAATTGAATGTTGTACATTATAATGATAAGTAAGCTGATGATCAGGAATGCGGGATAAATCAATTCTACTATTTAAGTGTCGCGCGGTTTCCGTTAAATTTAATTCGGTATACGTAACATGATAAATACGCGTACCATCTGGTGAAGTAAAATAAAATTCAAGTGTAATATTTTGAGGTGCAGGAGTTGTTGTATTAGTATTATTGATGAAGTTATTTTCAGTTTGATCCATTAGTAAATTAGAATAATCTTGTATAGTATCAGGTTGTTAGTTTATATATTGATGAAATTTTTTTTAAAAAAAGAAAGAAGAATTACCAGATATTTATGTATTTATTCAGTTTGAATGCGTCGTTTCCTATTAAGTTAATTAGTAATTTATGTAACATTATGTAACACAAACAAACGATATCATGGGACAATGTTAGAATTATGATCCTAAAAAAGAAATTGATACCATTAAACAAAGATTAACCACCCATATAGTTAATATAGCGTTTACATAAAAGGATATTATATACTTTACATAAATGGTTAAGATAACATGCACATATTAAGAATATTATTATACGACCGAAGACCACATGGTATTCTCTGACAACATGACCAATAACAATGTTACATATAAGGTTAAATACATTTATCTTGTGAGTTTTGATGATAAAAATAACTGATACAACAATAATTTTGCACATGACCATCTTTGCCGATCATCAAAACAAACGAAATTTTGCAAAGAATCTAATCGAGATAACGTGTGCTTGTAGTCCCTGCTTTTTGTCTCATATTTAAAGAATCAATCGAGAACATTACTTCTCTATTATTAAAATGAATACCGTGCTCCAAATTATTTACTTATACATAATAAAGAAAATTATAAAGTTTCTATAACGTAAAGGCAATAAAAAAAATTTTACACCCTTTTTTAATTAAAAATTTAAAATATTATATATTTGAAGGGTATAGGTTGATGAACATATGATCATTTACAAAATCTTTTTGATGGAAAGGAATCTCCATTTTAGTTTTATATTATAGTTAATCTCCGGTTAAATGTAGTCTAGAATAGTTTGTATATTTAATTTTGATCGTTACACCATTATTTTATATCCTATTTGTTCTCTTTGTAGTCGTCTTTCATAAACATCCAAATTTAATATTTAAAAAATGACGATCATTTAAAAATAGTGCCAAGAAGGGTTCGGGATTTACCGTAAATGAAAAATAATATTTTCGTCGCACAGCGATTTATTACGATTGTTGTAAAATTTGTTGACGTCGTACCATTGTACTTCTCTAATACCTATAAAAGTAAGGTTTTTTTTTTTAAAAAAAAATTTTTTACAAATTTACTTTAAAAAAAATCCATCTAGAAAAAACTATGAATTCAGGTAACCATGTTACACAAGATTTTCCTAATTTACCAACGGATCAAACTGGAAATAACTCCGTAACTTCACAAATTACTGATAATAATGAAACCTTCCAGCATGCTTCAAACGTAGGAATAACTAATATGAATCAAGATAATTTATATAATAATAATAATACTATTTCTACACCTCAGAATAATACATTTGAATTTTATCTTCCTTTACCAAATGATACACGTATCTATCATGTTACCTATACCGAATTAAATTCAACAGAAATCGCACAATTCCTGAATAATAATATCAATTCATCTCACATTCCTAAACCTGTTAACTATCAACAAAATACCATTCAACAACAATCTTTCAATAATATGAATATTCAACCTACGTTCCAAGAATATTCAGATAATAATGCTTACGATACAAACTCGATTTCTCCAAACGGTGCTATCCCTGAAGATACTTCAGGATAAATTACACCAAACAATCAAAGTAAGATGTGGTAAGCTGAATGATATTACACAATATACCCTAATATAATAGTAATCTAACATCTACGCTTCATCTAATTTTTCGATCCAAAATCTTTTATCTTTTAAAGAGTAGGTTTGATGGATAAAATATTATAATAATAATTATTATTTTATTATTGTTGTTGTTATTATTAATAAAATATTTACTACCTTTTTTTTCAATCTTTATTTTAATCTAAGAAATTGATACCCGACAGTTCACATATGGGGTGCCGCAAGGCATGACGGATGGCGTGGAAATTAATTATATTAGAGATAGTCCAAAAGATTATTATTTTATGTACTAATAGACAATTTTTTAATAAATTTTACATGTTTTACGGTTAAAAAAAAATTTTTAAGAAATTGATTATAAGAATAATTTTAACAAGAATAAATGAACGTTCGTCATAGTCTAATTGTTCAAGGATATGGTATAGTCATATAGTGATATAGATTATGACAAACAAAATAATTTTTCATGACATATAATTGGTGATAAGTAAGATATCAAATATTTCGTTGAATGATGTAATGCGGATTTCAAGTTGTCATGTATAGAACCATCCAACTCTCCTAACTCTTATTCCATCTGCGGTGATTCGATGTTAATTTCTTGTTAATATTCAACTTAAAATTCATAATTATAAAATTTTAATATGCTATAAACTTTTCTTTTCACCTTTTCGATTTTTCCATCTTTTTATAAAGAATAACTTTCTTTTCTTTAGCTAAAAAAAAATAATTTTATACGTATTCATTCCTGTTGCGAGTACATACAATTTTGGAAGATTACAATAATTAATGAATAGATTCTTATTTTTATTACATTTTCAAATTTATTTTTAATTTTCCTTTTTCTAAATTTATTTATATATATAGGATTTATCGTTGAGTTAAAAAAATAAATATAAAATAAATTAATTATAAATGGTCATTTTAAATAATAAACCAAAATTTATATGGTTTAGATTGATTTAAAAATAGTGTGAATAGAGATGTATCGACCATATCGATCAAATTTACAGTTGATAACATACAAAACGTAAAAGAAAATATTTTTTTTTGGATAATGAAATTATTAAAATAGAAACTTTAGTCCTTATTGTTCTTTTCAATTGAAATAAATATGGTTAGACATGCAGATCAACGTCATAAATGCATTATATGCATGTTTGCCTTCGATAAAGTACTTCTAAATAAAAACCGAATTTTCCGTAGTACTAGGGCGAATTCACCAACAGAAAATTCTACATTCTATTAAACGGTTCATTAAATAAGAATTTAAAACTATAAATACGTTGAATTTTCTATACTTGTTTATACTGTAATATTATAAAATGGAACTTGTAAAATTAAATGATGAAAATTCTTTTGACCCAACACCAAAATTAAAATCTAGTTCTGTACCGATTTTTTTTGTTTCTTTTGATGAGCGTGATAATAATTGTTTTCATTGTGGAGAAGAATACACACGAACGATTATTTATGGTCAAAAATATTGCAAAAAATGTTTATCATGTTATTTAAATAATATAACTGCTATTAACATACATTTGGTCGTATATTTATTCGCAAAGGACTCGGAATGTACTGATTATCATGAAATAATTAGAACAAAAGTACCACCAAATATTCAAGAATGCTGCTTGATAATATTATTTTTTAAACAGATAATTAGTCATTATCAACTGTTTGATAATACTTTAGATGATTTATATGATAAAGTGTTCGAAGATGAAAAATATTGTAAACTATGTGGAAAATTATCATATCAAGAAACAGACCATAAGTTTATAATAAAGTTCAAATTGTGTTCGAGTTGTTATCTAATCTCTTCTGGATGTATAGAATCAACTTTTACTGAAAAGTTTATTTCAATTATTTATTTACCATTTTGGGATAATACAAGTAGATGTTATTGTGATAAAAAATTAGTATTTACATCAAACTGTCAAAAGTATTGTGAAAATTGTTTCATATTTTTTATTGGATGTAGATATTGTTTAACAACAAATATTATTTTTGGAATTACAAATCAATCACAATGCAAAAAATGCAAGAGAATATCAACTATCATTTTTGATAGAACAAAAATTATTAGTATTAACAGTGGAGATAGTGTTTTAGATGATTTTCTTATTAATATAAGATATGATCAATTGAAAATAGCTAAATTCGCTAACGATTTAAAAAATATTAATAAGTATTTCATTCCATCCGAGATATACAATAATTTTTTTAGACATGATCAGAAATGGGTAAAATATATACCATATTCTCAACTTACAAATGTAAAAAAAATAGCAGAAGGAGGATTTAGCATCATATATCAAGCAACCTGGATTTATGATTTAAAAAATAATAATAATTCAATTGTCATTTTAAAAAGATTTAAAAATCTTCAATATGCTAAAAAATATTTTTTAAAAGAGGTAAATACTTAAAAATTCGTATTTTTATTTAATGTTTGCAAAATATTTTAAATTTTAATCTCGAAATTTATAGTTGGAGTCGAATTATTGCTGTTATAAATTAGGTTCATATGTTAATGAAACTTTTGGTTTTACAAAAGATCCCAAATTGGATGATTATACATTAGTTATGCGATATGCATCGGAAGGAGATTTACATAAATATTTACAAAATGAATTTACAGAAATTAAATGGTAACTAAAGATATCAATTTTACATAATATTTCAACAGGGTATTTATATTTTAGTTTTTAAATGTATTGATAATGATTAATTTGTAATACTAATTTAATAATCTTATTTTAGACTTATGAATGTTCATGGTTCAAATTTCATACATCGAGATTTACATAGTGGAAATATATTGGTAAATATTGTAAATAGAATTTCTACGCTTTATAAAATAGGAGATCTAGGATTATCACGATCTGTAAATGATATCTCATTGGATGATGAAATATATGGAGTAATACCTTATATTGCACCAGAAATATTTAAAGGATCTGCATTTTCTAAAGAATCTGATATTTATAGTTTGGGTATGATTATGTGGGAACTTACAACATGTTGTAAGCCTTTTGCTAATGTTGAACATGATCACACTCTTATTTTTAATATTATTGATGGTGTACGACCTGAAATTACAGAAGATACACCAGAATGTTATGCTAATTTAATGAAAAGTTGCTGGGATCCTGATCCAAAAAAAAGACCTTCTATAAGTGAAATTTGGGATACTTGTAGTCTATGGTATAATCATTATAGATCTGTTTCAATTATTAGCAGTTCCGATTACATTATTCAATTTGCCCAAGCTGAATTAAAAAGGAAAGATTTAATAGTTTCGAAGAAGCTTGGTTCCAAGTTTAGTGAAAAGCCTCATCCAAAAGCTATTTATACAAGTAGATCATTAAATTCTTACATTTCTAAATGTTCATCTATATTTTCTAAATATTCATCTATCAATTTTTCATCAAATGGTATGTATACTATTTTGATAAAAGTCATCTTTGGATAGTTAAATTAAATTTCTTTTTTTATAGACTACACCTCAAATGATCTAGAATTTGACATAGATATTAAAAGGTATGTATTTAAAGTTAAAATATCTGTTAAATTAAATATATAAATTCAACAATTCAAATAAAATAAAATTTTTATCAGTAGTGAACTCAACGTAATCGGAACTAAGCGAAATATTGAAGAATTAAATAATAATTCTTGTGAAAATAATAGTAAATATATTATTTGATTAAATGTTATATTATATTTTTATTTTTATTTATTTATTTTTTTAATTTAAAATAGGAAAACGAATTAAAATTAATTAAGGGATGTCTCATATCTCTCAAAAACTAAACCAGTCTGTAGCGATGCTACACATCACCGATTGAAAAAATAAGAAATAGAAAAAATTTTCATATAAATATCGTTTTAATTTCAATACTATACAGTATTTAGATTTAGAGTATATATATTTTATATATTATTCAATTAGCTTAGATGAAAATGACACATGTAAATTTAAGTACGAGATTTTATAATTTGTATTTATACAAGGCGTTGATAAAATAACAAACAAATGTTGGAAAACCCATAACTCACTTGAAATGATTTACAAAGCAAGTTTTTCAATGTTTCGTGTATAAAATTAAAATTCACTTAAAATTATCGTTATTATAAAAATGTAAGATTTTGTATAGCGTTCTAAAACTCCTAATGACAGATCCCAAATCAGATGATTTTTGATGTTTCGTTTAAAATTTTAAAATTCCCAATAACGACAAAAAAAAAGTTCACATTTTCTTGTTAAACAAATTTCGCTAGTTTCTGCACAGAAAAGGTAGATCAATAATTTTTTGATTTATGTGATTTTTTTTATTTTAAATACTAGCAACAACCCGTTGCTTCGAACCGGGATCGAAATTCTTCATACAATCGAATCATTCTAGCGATAATTTCTCGTTACACAATTCAAATTAATTTATAGAGGGTAATCTAAATATCATTTAATAATTATTGTGTACTGATAACAAGAAATTGACTTATTAGCAGGGGAGCAGGGGAGCTGCCATTCGATTTTATTTCGTTATAGTAAGAACTATTTAAAAGAGGAAACTAAATAGTAAGCTTTATTTACTAATAAATTCACGTAAAATTTTCGTGATTAGGTATTTATTAGGGCACTTGGTTAATAACGATAGTGGAATAATTATATTTATAGTATTTTCTCGAACAATTTTTTCTAAATATTAATTAAAAAGTTGTTTAAAATTTTCTGACGCCATAAAAATATATATAAGACATATATTAAATGACGATTTGCGTAAGATACTATAAGTAACCATTTTTTATTTTTATAGACTTATGATATTTTTCTATAATTAACAAATTTTTTTATTCTTGTAAGAGATATTCCATCTTAAGCATTCTCCCGTGCCAATATTATTGCTTATTTATTGTAAAATCAGAATATCTTCGAAAGTCAAACATACTCATATAGAATTTTATATATAGTTTTCTTATATAAATTAATATAAATGTTTTTTTTTTCTTTGATAAATAAAATTGGGTTACTTGATATTATTTCTTCGCTTGGTGCTAAAATGCTGCTCTGCTCAAACTAAGCATTCAAATATAGTTATTTTTACAATTCACAGAAACAAACAAAACTTGTAAAGAGCAAAAATTCCATTATTAGAATTTTTGTTTAAAGTAATTCAAAAGGATATTTATTACATTCAATCTTAATAAAATTTCATTTGATTTCTTTGATCAATCGTGAATTCGTGATTTTACCTTTACGTTATTTGTATACAATAAATTAACAGAAAGATAAACAAAAGGAAATTTTAATGTAACGACTGTAACGTGATAAAATCTTAGAATAAGAATTTTTTTTTTCGTTTGTATTCACATAAAACTATACCAACTTTTATATTAAAATAGTTAGAGGAGGATTTTTATTAGAAAATTTAAACGCCAGATCATGTGTTAATTTAATATTCGAAGAAAAGCATTTTATTTTTTTTTTTTAAAGAAACTTAAACATAGTATTTAAAGTTTATAAAAAAGAAAAAATAAATAAATAGTAATAATTCTGAAGTATGACAAGAACCCACGTTTATATATCCACCAAAATTTAAACATCGAAATGAAACGAATTGTTTGTATCTTGCACATTATTCCCTATACCCTTGAAGGAGAACTCAATTATCGAAATCGAAAATTAAATCATTAAGTTAATAAATAGAAGTTCGTTTAATCTCAATAAATTATTCTTAAAATAGATTATCGTCATTTTCAAAAATTGTGTAGTATTTTGGACGAAAAAAAACACCAGATAACCGGGTAATATTGGAAATGGGAATGGTATAAAATAATAATAATAATAATAATATAATATGTAAATCTATCTAACCCACCCTTTAAAAAAACTTATTCGGTAAATCATATAAATATTGAATTTATATTAACATCAAATGTTAAATTGTAACATATAAATATAACAAAGCATATAATGACATACTAGCTTAATACTATAAATTATAATTTGAGTTTAGCCTTAATTAATTTGATGTGGTTGAGGTATCACCAAGACTGTTTGGAGGAACTGAAGATGTATCGTAAGCATTATTATCTGAATATTCTTGGATAGTGGGCTGAATATCCATAGTATCGAAAGTTTGCTGTGCGATGGCATCTTGTTGATAATCAACAGGTTGTAGAATAGGAGAAATTGAAGATACAACGCAAGCACTAGTATTCTCTAAATATTCTTGGTAAATCGGTTGAACATCAATAGTATCTAAAGATCGTTGTGGGGAGGTGTTTTGTTGATAACCAATAGATTGTTGAACAATTTCTTGCCTAATTAAACGTTGTACATTATAATGATATGGAAGTCTATGATTGGGAATGTGAGATAAATCAATTCTATTATTTAAGAGTTGTGCGATTTCTGTTAAATTTAATTCGGTATAAGTAACATGATAGGTATATACATCATTTGGTAAAGGAAGATAAAATTCAAATTTTATATTATCGAAAGGTTGTTGCGAGATAGTATCTTGTTTATAATCAACAGGAATAAGAGAGATTGAAGATACGTCGTTAGCATTATTATCTGAAGATTCTTGGAAGTTACGTTGAATATCCATAGTATCGAAGGATTGTTGTGGGATGACATCTTGTTGATAATCAACAGGTTGTTGAATAGGAAGAATTGAAGATACATCGAAAACATTATTATCCGAATATTCTTGAAAATTACGTTGAATATCCATAGTATCGAAAGATTGCTGCGAGGTAGATTTTTGAACAATTTCTTGCCGAATTAAATTTTGTATATTATAATGATATGGAAGCCGATGATTGAGAATGTGGGATAAATTAATTCTATCATTCAAAAGTTGCGCGATTCCTACTGAATTTAATTCGGTATAAGTAACATGATAAATACGCGTATCATTTGGTAAAGGAAGATAAAATTCAAACGTAATATTTTGAGGTGCAAGAGCAGTCATATCAATATTATTAATATGTGAGGTGTCTAAAATCATTGAAGTGTGTTGAAAGTTTTCATTATTGTCAATAATTGAAGGTACGAAGTTATTTCCAGTTGAATAGTCTCGTATAATATGGTTATTTAAATTCGTGTTTCCCATATTAAATTTTATAATATTATTTTAATATTGAATTTTTTTTTAAAAAAAAAACGAGGATAATTGCTTGGTTTATATAGTATAATGTTGAATAAGACTACAAGTGTCATGTGATCTTTACTCATCATTTGATGATAAAATATTATCAAGAATTTATTTCTATTTTAATAGTATGTTTGTTTCACTGCTTAACGTTATCAAAAACGATAACGATTTTAATATAAAATGGGCCATATTAATACATGATCGGCAAATCTTTCTGTACTAATAATATAATGTACTAAACAAATTTCGGAATAATGTTTTTTTTCACAAAATTCCTTCCTTGAATGATATATTCGTATCACCTATGTACTATCAAAATATAAGGGCGTATTTACTAAGTTATATTATTCAAAAATATTTCAGAAGTGAAATCAAAGTTCTAAAATGACCTATAAAGTTCCTAACTAAAACTTTAGATCAATAAAAATTAAACACCAATTAAAATAAATTTCAAAATTAAATTCAAGGCTGCAGAAATTTGCGGATAACTAAAAATTACCCAATAAAATTTATTGTCAATTGTCCAATAGTTAAGGTCATTTCGGACCGCAGCAATTTAAAACTAAAAAATTTTATACAAATATGATACTGCGCTCTGAAATTAATAATATCATTACCCTCTAGGCCTCTGTAAACCATTTAAATATACGAAGTACGCAATATAAGAATTTTATTATTTCGTTTGTTAAATTAAAATAAGAATTAATTTTTTTTTATTACGTTATATTCCATATTAAAATATTCTATTAATACATCTTCATGTTTACTATAGACGTTAAAAAACGCGAAGTAAAAGCAAAAAATTCAGCTCAATAATTTAAAGAACAATTTAAAGAACGAAAAAACGAGTTTCAAGATTTAGATATTATTACAATTTATAATTATTAGCAATTGTAGCATATTGTTAACAATTATAGTACGTACAACAGTTTTTTGTTATATTAAAACTTTTTGTATTACTCATAGTACGTACGTTCACTAAATCTAAAAAAAAATTATACTAGTACATTGTTTATAATTTTCGTACATATATAGAACCGACCAAAATTAAGGACTTATAAAGTTTATTTCAACCCAGGCCCAGGGTACAGTAAAGCAGCGGTTAATGAAAGATGTTTCGATTTGAGTATGATAACAGAAAAACAATTACTGTCCAAGGGAAAGGACAAGCAAAATAGTAGTGGAAGGAAGTATTAGTTAAAAAAACTTTAGAAGACTTAGAAATAGGGTAAATCATCTCTTTTACCAAAAAAAAAAAAATAATTAAAAAATATGATTTTTTTATAATCAGACCGATCTGGACCGGTCCAGTACCGGTCCTCAAATCCTGGACCGAAGACTGAAAGACCGTTCCTCCTCAACCCTGCCGGGCGTAGACATTCTATGAGTTTTCATGTTACACAATTCAATTATTTATATGGAGATTCTAAACGTCATTTCGTCAGACATTTTTTTTTTTTGGATTTATATTAAACTGCATAAAAAATTATGATATATATAAATTTTCGGTATCCTGAAACATAACATAATTCCTTTAAATAAACAGTCAGAATTTTCTGATTCTAAAAATAGTAATTCTGATTTCAGTTTTTAATAATCACTATTATATATATAAAATAAAAATTAGTTTATCTCTCGTTATATAAACAAAAAAAAAAATTATTTTTTTTCATGCCTCTAAAACTTCGGATTTTTGAATATTTTATCTACGATCATTGACGGGATATGATTATATATATATAACTGAGTGAATGACATATATTTGAATTTTCTTCAACTTATTACAATGGTTAACTAGTTAATGACTTACTGAATATAATAAAATTTTTAACATTTTTTTATTTCCAATATAAAAATGTAAATTTTCTTACCCTTAAATTTACAGTAAAAAAATATTATTTAGTTATTTTAATTTGTTTCATTTTTATAACTGTGAAATTCATACAAAATAAAAATTAAGGACATCTCAATTATAGGTAAACAGGTTAATACTTATTTTAACCATAATTCTGGTCAGATTTTAATAATGCGGGCCAGAGATTTGCGATTGCGGTCACGCGAACTTTAAGTTTCGACATCCCAATACGTAATATTAAGTCGGTACAATTTTGCGGCTAAAAAAAAAAAATCTAAAATAATTTTTGATTAAGACTCTTGGCTACCCTAAACAGAATGAATATGATTAAACAAACTATTTAGTTATGTTCGCTTTACAGTAATTCTAAAATATTAGATTCAATAATATAAATATCCATTTGACAATTATAATAAATTAGTTGGATAACACTACTATCGTCATTTAATAGAATTTAGAGCGTGCGGTTGAATATTCTTTTTAACTTAGTACTAAAATTATTAATATATTTGAGAATACTGTATTTGTATAGTTTAATTAATGATTGTTCAAGAGGCTTTGGGTCTTTACTATTATAAAACTAATAACAATTTTTAATAATTATACTGATTAATATATAATTTTGAATTTTTATAGGATTGGACAATAAAAAATGAAGATTTTTCTTGCGTTTTCTCCGCCAATACTATCACGTGTGTAAATACACAGTACTGAGGTCTGGAAACCTCTCAATATTCCAGATTTTTTAAAATATTTTATTGGAACGGAGTAAAGCTTCAAATTTTAAATTTGACTAACTTTAAAATCAACAAGGTTGAAGTTATTTTATTAAAATTTTTAGTAACAACAGTAAGAAGTAAATTTATACCAAGGATAGTTTTATTGTAGTACGTTAAAGAAATCTCAAAATTTGATGCATAAACTCATCTTTTTGTAATTCTTATATGGTTTTAAATCTTAAGCTAAGTCTGTTATCATGCGAAAGAAGCTGCCACCTTCTCTCCCGACAAGTGATGTTAAATAAAAATAAGAACTTTATTAAATAAAATACATTGCTTGGTTTAATATACATCAAAATACAAAATATAAGTTTAAACTCTAAGATTATTGCTAATTTAAGGGTACTTATTTTAGAGTTATTAACTTCTAATGTATTACTAACTTTTGGAATTACATCATTTTATTGGGCATCCCTATAGGATCATGTTATTTAATTTCCGCTCAATATTGCTAACGCATTACGTCATTTACCAAATATCATTTACATTAGTTTAGCTTAATACTGTACAGCAATTTGAAAAACTGTTACTTAAACTATATTAGTATTATCTATTGAATACAAATGTACAATTATTGAAAATTGATCCGTTTCCTTTAAAAATATCCTGTAAAGTTTCAGTTTCATTTATTGTCAATTTGTTGGATTTGTTAGAAAATGGAATTCGGCTTTCTTGATTGATTTCAGCTAATTTTATTAATAGAAATCAATAAAATAAAATAAAATAAAACAAACTATTAATAAATTACCTTTAAAAATTTCGCGTGCACTAGTAAAAGTTGATTTAAGTTCAATTGGTGTTAATGCTTGCTTATCTGGCATTGAAAAATGTGGCAAAGGTTCTAAAACATCTAAAATTCCATATTGTATAATTAGTATATTGAAAATCAATTTAAAAATTAAAATTAAAACTCACCAGAGCCTTCCATTTGATCATTATCTATAAGAACGTTCATTAAGTTGTTTAAACTAACATTCTGCATTTTTTCTTTAGTTCTTTCATAGCTAGTAAATCCTGAATTTGATTTATGCCGGGTAATTGCCATAACTTCATTGTCACTAGTACCAAGTTCTTTCAATATTCCTACTAAACTTTTTCGGGCGCTATGGTTGCTGATCTTTCGATTGCCAATATCAATACCACATTCTATTACAATTTCATGTAAAAAATTTTTTAATCGCTTTTCACCAACATGAAACTTTTGAAACCAACGATTATAAATAATATAATCTATAAATAAATAAATAAGTTAACTAATAAATGTCATATTACTGAAAAAAATAGCATAAAATGATAAAGTACATTGAACTCACCATCTTCAGACACATATTCTATTAAATAGAATTCTTTATCGGCATTACCTGGTCTTTTAGAAAAATATTTGTTATAAGTTTCCATTATCATTGGATGATATGGAATTCTTAATTTTTCATCATTTAATGAGCCATTAATACCCCTTTGATTTGTTTTACTTCGAGGAATATTTACATCAAAACCCTGACCATCAGCTCTAAACTTAAAATGAGAATATTGTAATGAATAGTGCTCACCACCTCTAAGAGCTAAGAATAATGCATTTAAAAAAAAGACTTTTTTTAACAATCCAGTGGGTGTGTCAATGTTTAATACTGGTGAATACAGTATTTTTTTACATTCTTCAACAGAAAGACCATCAGCTCCTTGAACATTGGCCTTTCCTTGTTCTGCTACATGTTTCATTTTGCCATCTAATACATCATATAATATTGGAAATTGTTTTCTTGAAGTAAAATCCATTGGAGATAGTGATGATAAATCATTTAAATGTCGGTTTAATGCATGTATAGCACTGAGGATAGATCTAGCCTTGTATTCTTCACCAGAATTAGTCTTCATAACTGTTACGAAACTACAGATTTGACTTTCTAATTCCTTTCTATCAGTAATATCTATGCTTTTACCAGTAAATCCAGCTTTTTCACGAAAGTTTTCAAATTGGTGAACCCAATTTGCTGTGGATTTATCTGTATTTACTACTCTTGACTTCTTTTTGAAAAAATTTATTTCGTCTTCTGTAGGTAAATAAAACTTGAATAGAAAATATTGTATTAGCAAATTAATATAACAATATTTTGGTAATAATAACAACATACTTTATCATTATTTATTTTATTTTTGTTAGTTTTTTCCTTCATTATTAAAATAAATAATAGAATAGGTTGAAAGAAAAAAATGTGTAAAGAAAAAGTAGGGTATTTAAAAAGTGTATATAAAAAAGAATGTGTAAAAGAAAAAACGCGTAAAGAAAAAATGTGTACAAATGAGTGGATTTAAAAGAAAGTTTA